TAAGTGTAATTAGAACCTAATAAACATTAGGGGGTCGACTGAATGGGTGACTAATCAGTTTCGACTAAACCCTCCTGTTCTCTCTTTCTCTTGTCTTCTTCCTCATCTTCTTCTTCCTTCTTCACTGGTTCGGGTTACTGAAGCTGCTCCAAAACAGATGCAAAATGTTCTTACCAAAGAAATTACATGACTCCAGTTCTTATATGTCTGTTATACAATTTTATTCAACATTGAAGTTCAAAAACTATTTTTTGGATCATTATTACTTACTTCTATGCATCTTGTATGCCTAACCCTTGTTATTTTAAATACACTATTAAAAGAACTTGCACTATATTTTCGAATACTGCTTTTCCTGTATCATTTGCATATGACTAGCCAAGCAATTTCTAGAAACACCAGTGCAAATTCTGTTTGAAACATTTTATGTCAGGGGCAACTGAATTAGTACCAACTACCAGCCTTGGTGTTACCTCTAAGGTTGTTCTGGCTCTTATGCATGGCTTATCCTTGTCATTTTTGTAACTTCCTGAAAATACTTTAAGCTTTCTTGCAGGAAATGGGATTGTTGGAGGTGAAACATGGTTTGCTCCAGGTTGCAGAATCATTAGATTTTCTTCACAACAATGCCCGCCTCATTCATCGGGCTATTTCACCTGAGGTTACATCTTCCTTCTCTCTCTCTCTCGCTGCCTGTCTGTTTGACTGTCTCTCTGTCTCTGTATGTATTTATGCATATATGCATATATTTTATGCCTAAATGTATATATATCATTAATGTATGCCAAACTTTAATTCATGAATTCTTTTGTGGGATTTCTAAGGGAATAATTATTAATCTCATACACTAATTTTTTGATTAATGAAGGAAGAATTTTATTAATGATTATAGAAATAACAGATACAAGAATGAAGAAGACCATTAAAGACATCATGTAGTGTACAAAAAAGAGTTACATGAAATAGATGAGTTAGCATTTTCATAATTTTTTGCACGTTTCTTGTAGGTTTTTAGTTAAATATAGGCATCTAATTTGATCATCATTAACAACAATATTGGCTTCTCTCACTTATTTAGGGTTGAAATTACTAACAGCATGCCCTACGTATATGGTAGGGACCATGCTTAATTTTGTTTTGCAGTGTCATTTCATAGGTCCCACCATGCCTGTATCCAAGAGTTGCATATACTTTTTTACAAGAATTCCTTAGTGATGTCATTTGTTAAATGTTGACAGCTGGCCTTAGTTATTGGGCCTTTTTAATTGTTATTTTATTTATTCTTTTTATTGTTATCTTGTTGGGCCCAATGGACCTCATATTTATTTGTTTTTTATTACTGTCTTATTGCTGCTTCCCCACTAGGGTTACTTATGTAATTTTAACTGAAATTATAAAGAAAATATAAAAGGAGTGGGGATTCTCTAGAACCACATATCCAGTTCTTTCTTCTCTTCAATTATTTCTTCCTCTTTCCTCTTCCTTCTTGATCCAGCCTAATTCTCTTCTTCTAAACCTGATCTCTGAATTTTCTTTGAAGATATAGGTGCTGTTTTCATCCAACTTGGTATCAGAACCAAGTTTTTCAGTTTTTTCGCTTTCTTTAGGCTCGTGTATTTAGCAGTATACAAGAGCGTTTGAAGTGATAATCATCATCACTGCTGTCACCTGGCTTCTAGGAGTGTTTTGGAGAAGTTCTTAGTGCCTTCTGTTGTCTTGAAGAGAGTTTTGAAAGTGTGCTGCTAGAAACCATAGAGGAAGTCAGGGAACCATTATCAATTTGAGGTAAGAAGTATAGAGCAAGTTTGGGACTGGCGCTTGGGTATTTCTAGGCCCAGCACATCATAAAATTGAGATCGATTGACTTTTGGACATTTCTGAGCTCACTAGAATGAGCGGCTAGCCTACTATATCTTCTCCCTTCTTCAAGTAGTCCCGGGTTGGTCTATCTTGGGATATAGTTAGAGTTTGTGTTTGAGTGCTCTGTTTCTCATCAAAATCAGTTGTTTGCTATTGTTTGAAGTAGATGGTGGTAGTTGGTGTGGGATGGATGCTAGTGGAAGTAAGCAGAAGTAGATTACAGAGGTTGGAACCCTCATGGGAGGAAGCGGAGACTTCCAGATGTTAGAATGATCACTACAGTCAGGCTAGATGGGTTTGACCATTTAGAGTGGGCTCAATCAATGAAGATCGGGAATGGAGGGCATGGGAAATTGGGTTACATCACAGGGAGTGAGGAGTTTGATTCCAAAGACCCCAGTCATCCCAAATGGACACATGAGAACTATATGGTGACGGTGTGATGTCTTGGCTACTTAAATTCAATGCAGCCTCATATCAGCAGAAATTTCATGTTCAAGAAGATTGCTAAGGATGTGTGGGATAGTGCATCTGAGATTTATTCACTGCCTCTCAATGGTGCAAGGGCATGTGAATTGAAGATGCAGGTGAATGCTTTAAAATAGTGGGAGTTATCTCTAACATCATATTACTCTTCTTTGAAATTTCTTTGGGAGGAGATAGCTCAACTTGAATTATTGCAGTGGAAGTGTGTTGAATGGAGTTGGGAGGGCTGAAAGGGAGGTTCTGATGGAATGCGCTGAAGCCTTTGAATGTAAAATTGGAGAACTCCCCTTTATATATTTAGGGGTGCCGATTGGGAGAGCCTCAAAATCTGGTGCTTTATGGAGACTAGTAATGGAAAGAGTGGAGAAGAGGCTGGATGGGTGGAAGGAAAAATACTTATCTTTGGGGGGAAGAATAACCTTAATAAAGAGTGTTCTCTCAAGTCTACCGACTTACTACTTATCCTTACTTAGGGTTCCGTCACAAGTGGCTGAAAGAATTAAAAAATTCAAAGGGATTTTCTTTGGGAAGGAGTATGTGTGGGGAGGGTAGGGGAAAGAAGTTTCACTTGGTAAGCTGGGGGAAAGTTTGTAAACCAAAGGAGAAGGGTGGGTTGGGTTTTAGGAGAGTCAAGATTTTTTAACAAGGCATTGATTGGAAAGTGGCTGTGGAGATTTGGCTCAGGGAGGGAGGAAAACTCGTTATGGAGAAGAGTGGTGGTGGGTAAGTATGGGATGATGAGGTTTGGGTGGGAATCCAGGGAGGTGTGGTCTTCATATGGGGTGAGTGTATGGATGGGGATCATGAAATTCAACCATGATTTCAGGGCTCAGTGTGTAACAAGCTTCTCAGTTGGAGATGGAGCAAGAATCAGGTTTTGGGAGGACGATTGGTCAGAGCAGGTAAATTGTGTGAGCTATGTCCAAGTCTGTATAGGTTATCTGAAGCTGAAATAACCACAAGTCAATGTCATGAGAGAAGGGGGGAACAACTGGTCTGGTGTCCCAAGTTGGAGGAATGCACTAAATGTTATCATTAAAATATACGGGGGAGAAGATGACGTCAAAGGAAAGATTCCAGCCGGCGACAAAATGGAGGATGATAATGGTTGTGGAAAAGAAAAGATTTCTGCTGGAAGAAATCGGAGGAGGTTCTGCAATTAAAATTAGAAAAGATAAGAGATCTGTCGTAGTCTTGGGGAGGGAAGCAGTCTGTTGGTTTAAAGGTTTCCTTGATGGAACAATTTTTGCCATCACAGAGCCTGAATGGAAAGGAGAATTGGTGAAAGGCAGGAAGAAATTCTTGGTGGAGAAGAAAAGCAACAACAGGGGTACCTATATTCAGCTAACTGAAGCGTTTGGAAATGGAAAGAAGCAAGTGATTTGTATTCCGGAAGGAAAAAAGAAGCAAGGTTGGATTTTGATTGCTGGTGCTCTCGATGATTTTGAACAAAGAAGGTGGGGATTGGAAAGAAAATCAGTCCTCCCTATCCAAGAAGTAGCTGCTGATAAGAGCCTAGCAATTTCACAGGTTGGAGAAAAGGAGAAAGAAAATCTAAGAGGTGTTAGTGGAACTATTGCGTGCTCAAAGCTTGTATTAGAAGGACCTTTAGAAGGCTGGGAAAAGAAAAAGGTGATAAGTCTCCAGGGGGAAGTGGACTGGAATGGAATCCTAGCTGATGTCATGAAGACGATTCCTGTGATTGAACACGCGTTCCTGTTCCCGTTTGAGAAGAAGGCTGCTATCTTGGACTTTGGTCGCCCTCTTGAGGTTGCGGCTAAGATACAGACACGGGAAGGTTGGGCCTTGCTGCAGAGTTGGTTTCTGTCTTGCAATGAGTTTGTGTTGGAGGAAGAAGAGGTTATTCAATTAAAACTGATTGGGCTTCCGTTCAATCTTTGGAAGCAAGAGGTTTTCTCCAGAGTGGCAGATCTCTGTGGAGGGTCACTCATTGCAGTGAACCTTTCTCCCCTTCAAGCGCTAAGACCAAGATTCAAGGTTCTCATCCTCAGAGAGTTCCGAGGTTCGTTGAGATTTCTTCAGGCGGACGATGGTGGAGAGTCTAGTTAGCATTGGAAGTTGAAACGGTGCTATGGGAGAAAGGCAAGGAGGTAGGAGACGATGGTGACGTGTCCAGAGTGATGCCAAGTGGACAAGAGTTTATGGAAAATCAGCAGTGTAATGTCGGTTCTGCTTTGGAAGGCGGACCGTCGGGCTTTAAGTCATTAAAAATGGGTTCTTTAAGTTTTTTTGAATTTCATCGTTCGGTTAGACCGAGGGCTAAACCGTCGTTTGTGGATATTTTGAGGGAGGGGGGGGGGTAAAAAGGATGGTCCACCCGCTGATCCTGGGTCGAATCGACAAGCTAAACAACCTGTTCTGACTAGGTCACGTGATAACTTAAAGAGCATGTGCGAGGTTTTTAATAGGGCGATGGGGGACGACATTTACGATCTATCATCGTCCCCATCATCCCAAGGCAGTCAAATTGGTTCGAAGCTCTTGCAGCTGTAGTGGATGTCGCAACAAGCCTAATCCTCGATATGAAAGGTCGAAGGCGGACTGGAAGGATGATGGCGATGGCATAGAGGATCTTTGGGTTCATTGTGAAAACTCAGATGATGGTCTCTCCTCCGAAGATGATTCCAGTAGCAAAAACTCAGACGGCGGAGATACTGTTCAGGTCATTGTAGAGAGTGGGGATGATTTTCAATTGGTTCACTCTTTGATGAAAAGGAGGTAGCAATAAATAAGGGGAAATCACAAGTTGAAGACGTACTTCTCTCGACTACGAACAAAGATGTTGTCTTACGGCCGTCACCGATTAGTGGTGTGAAGAATCGTCCAATTATTCAGGAGGGGATTAGAGGTGCCCAAGGGGGTAAGGAACTAATCCCATATGAGAGACAGGAGCATGGTGATAAATTGGTGTTTCGGCAGGAGAACTAGGAGATTACAGAAGATACTTTGGGAGGGGGTACAAGTACTGGTTTGGCCAAGTCAAATAATCCTTCGAGGCCCTCCCAACTAGTTAGAACTGAAGTCGGGGGTTTGGAGTGGTTTCAAAAGGAAAAGGGCACCGAATCTCCTGTGTCTAAGACGCTTGTCCTTCTTTCTTCTCAGCATTTTGGTAACTTCGATAACACTGTTGGTTTAATTTTTGATGCTAATTTGTGTCATGTTGATCCTACAGTATATCCAGATCCCATCCAAGGCCGTGATTTGCCCATGAATCTACCAGAAGAAGGAGAGAATGCGAGAGAATAATAGGAGAGGAAGGAGGGGAGGGTGTGTTTGAGGCTTGGGGTGAAAGGA